GGGTCTATGACCTCAACTAACAACTTGCAGCATGCTCATTTGACTTTGAAACTTTTGCTGATAATTACCAGTATAAAACGAGTGTGTCGCTCCATAAATAAGACCTCCAGCTGCTGCAAGTAAACCGAGCCCCGCGCCTGCCGTTCCTTTAAATCGCCCAGCCAAATCACCAAGTTTTTTTGGATCCATGATTTAATGTTGTAGCCGCTTTTCTGATGCAAAGGTAAGATGGCCGAAAACATGTGCAGGAAGTGGTCGTGATCAAAAAGACGTACAAAGTAGCAAATTCTTTTTGGTACCTTATCAACACTCCAAAAGTCAGCTCAGACTATATAGGGCTATCGCTCACTACTGCAGATCCCTAGAATTATAGAAACTTAGATCTTTACTGTTTAATTTCTTTTTTACCCAACATTTGAATATTAACAATTTAATACACTCGATAATACAGAGAATAAGCTTGAGAGACTGGATATGCAAGAAAAAATTCTTATCCGGTTAGATGAAAAATAACCTTTTTTCGCACATTTATAAGCCTATCTCTTAAACTTACTAATAGATTTTAAGGAAATTTTTATCAATTATCATATGACAATTTCATGGAATGAATAAAATCATCAAGGGGAGCACAGATGAGTGCATGATTAAGCTAATACACATAACTTATATTTATCTACCCTGTGAATTAAGAGGCTAAACCTAAATCACAAATAACAATACAAGTTTCTCAATGAGTCCATGCCATATGATTTATTTATCCTGCTAAAATAATTTAATAAATTAGTAAGCATGGCTTTTATGAGTAGAGGCTTATCTTTATCAAGGTATTTCAGTCGGGTTCCTCTATTGCCAGTTTGTTCAAACCACCTTTCAAAATACAAGATTTCAGTAATAAGGTAAGTGAAGCTGAAGGAAGTGTAGGCTAGGCCAATTCACAATTGCTTATCAAAATGATGAAAAATAGGACACTGCAATTCTATAATATGAACCATAAAATAATAAAACCATAAAAGGTAGTTATAGAGCTCGACCTTTCTCTGTCTATCGAATAAAACACCAAACTAGCAGCAAGTTCACTTACTGCTTTCATATCACTACACTAATATCACTAAGATACAGTACACCTTTTTACCCACTATAACATTACCAACAAGACTCTGGCAATCTGTGTTTAAGGGGTCTAGGCTTGGTGCAAATGGGATAAGATACTGATGTGAATTTTTAGGCCTGTAGGTTTGTATGTTACCATGTTGAAAATCCTCTTGTCAAAAGCATGCAACTGCGGTGCAACAAGTTGTTGACATTTTGTATTTTGACGCCCTAAGTTATGTCAAAATCACATGACTTTTTGTAGGTAATTAACTCCAAAATGAAGTCTTTAAAGATAGATTGCCTGATTTTCATATATGAAAATGCTAATACTTATATATGAATAGAAAGTAGAGGTGTTCTAATGACTTGGAAAAATACCAGTTTGTTTACCATGCCCAAAATTAATTCATCATTATCTATTTAAATTAGAAGAGAATTATCAGCAATGTCCAATGAGTGACCAATCAAGAAAAGTCAAAAAAATTTTTTTTTCATCCAGACTGTAAATACATGGACACTTATGATTGGTTAAAACTCTTAATTAAATATAATTATATGCAATAAGAACATAATGATATGATTAAGAATACATGATAATTCATTAGAAACACCAATTAATCAAATAGCTTGATTTGACATAAAAAAAAAAACCTCATCTTTAATAAAGTTGCTGCTGAAAATATTTTCCCTGGTTAAACAAAAATGAAGGAAACAAAAAGATAAAATGAAGTAATTATTGTTTTTAGGTTTGTATTATTGAAAGAATGGAATATGTTATTAACTATGACAGAATTTTATGAACAAGAACATGATCATATGCCAAGTCCAGAAAGACTATTTAAGGTATATTATACTCTGTATTTATTGTTTTATCCTCAAAGTGATACTACGTCTTAAAATGAGTATAAAATTGAAGTTGTCAAGAATGGTCAATATGAGTATATATTCATCAGTGAACTTATCTGGTGTCATAAAGTTACAACAGAATCCCTGTAAAATCTGGAAAATTCATAAAACTATGTAATTTTTGAAAAACGCTTAATCTTACTATTAAGCGTTTTTCAATAGCTAAAGGCGTTTTTATGGATAATTACCAAGTTTTTTTAATTCATCGGATTCTGTTATGTTATTTATGACACCAGGTATATCTAGTGATGAATATACCGTAATGCTCTTATTGGTCATGTTTGAAATTATTAAATTCTATGTTCATTCTAAGATGTAGTAACATTTCTGATTGATTTCTAATTAACCTTATGAATAGTTTTACTCTTAGATATCTGTAGAATAATTATATCTGGTCCAAAAGGCCATGAACATTTGCTTTTGTTCTTTACAAAGATTAATTTTAACCCAACCTTGTCTGTGATATAGTAAGGTTAATATATTGGTTGGTTTGTGGTACCTAGTATGATGGATTAAAAGAGATCTTGTCCTATAAAATAATTACTTCACCAACTTATACGCTTAATTTCAGCTAACCAATATCATTAGCAGAATCCATATAGTAACTGATGATAAAGCATAATATTTTGTGATAACTGTTGTCATTAAACATTTATTTTTTGTGTAAATGCAGGAACCACAGAAGTCCGATTGAAAATTGGAATGGTGCAAATTGATGCTATCAGTGTCCCCGAAACACATAAAAAATATAGAAAATCTCTTTACAATCCCTTTAAGATTGGTTTATTAAATCTGTAATTAACTGTATCAATTATTTGAACTAAGACATCACATCAGGTCATAATGGCAATATAAAAAAGAAATGAAGGTTTACTTCCTATTGTTCAACGCCAAGTGAGCTAATGAAGACAGAAAATGCCATGAAGGGTAATGAGGATATTTTGCCATGACCGCGGCATTAGCCTGCTCTCTTTCGATATCCAACTGTCAAGGAATCTTTAACGTGCCAAGCCGGTATCACACAGGGCCTCTGTTTATTGTCCCATCTGAACCAAAAAAACCATGAATATGAAATGATAGTTTTGTTCTCTTAAATGTATCCTGCCTAACCCTTTTTTTCACATTATATTTTTTTTGTATATTTCTCATTATAATTATAGGTAGAACATAGTATGGAAAACATATTGGAAGTAATCAAAGAAAGAAATGAAGCATATAATTTATTAGAGAAAGGTGATACAGGAGAAGCACCTGTAGTAACAGAGCGTAATTTTCTTGGCTTGGAATATAAACGTCGTTTACGTGAACACACTATCCCTAAAGAACAGAATAGATTACATAATTTACTTCATCCTGAAGAGTGTCCACGCAGTACTAAAAGATATATTAACCTATATAAGGAAAAATTAAGAAAGGAAGAAAGTCATCATAGGAAGAAAGCTCAGAGATATAAGGACAAATTAATTGATCGTTTTCCCAATTTAAAGGATAACAAGGAATTTATGGCTAAGGATCCTTCTGATGTGTATCCTGTTAAATTTAATCCAGAAATTTGGGATGATGTTGATGATGACTATTATTCCCATTCTCAGTAGTTGATGTGCTTTTGTTAATAAAAAAATTATTAGAGTTGTACTGATGTGTCTCTGGATATGAAACAGCAAATTATTGTAGATGATGAAAAAGTGCCGCGCTTTTCACAGAAATATTTAGCTATGAAATTTAGTTTACGTAAAACAACAATAAGCAGCATTTTTATACGCCCAATTCTTGACGGATTTTGACGAAACTTGGTATGAGTGTTCATAATCACCCAAGGATAAACCCTATTGAAAATCAGAAGAATCGAAAAATATTTAGTATGAGTTATTGCCCTTGTTCTTGAAAACGCGTGTAATTTTTAGCTCGTACACACACTAGGAGGCACAATTCTTGACAGACTCTACAAGTGACAATTTTTTTGCTCATAATCACAATTTACAATAGATGTCATTATTTTCGTAATCACTCTAGAAGGCACAATTCTTGACGGATTTTGATGAAACTTGGCTTAAATGTTTGTAATCACCCAAGGATGAACCCTATAGAAAATCAGAAGAATTGAAAAATAATTAGTATGAGTTATTGCCCTTGTTCTTGAAAAGGCTTTCAAATTTATCTCTTAAACACTAAAAGACATGATTCTTGCAGGATTTTGACAAAACTTGGTTTTATTATTCAGTCCCGCACTGAAGATTGAATATTTGAGTTTTCACGAGCTAAAAATTGAACACTTTTTCAAGAACAAGGGCAATAACTCATACTCAATATTATTCAGTATTGCCCTTAAGAGTTCAAAAGAAGTGTATGACTGGAGGTTGAATATTTCATACTGATGATTGTTACTGTACTGCTAAATATCTTTATTCAAAATCAAAGCTGCCAGTGGGCGTATATTACCTTGCCTGGCAAGCTATCTTAAAAGGTAAAGAAGAATTTTAAAAAATAGTTCGCCGACAATATTAATTTTAAAACGTAAAGAAAATTTTTTAAAAATAGTTTGCCAACAATATTAATTCCAATAAAAAGCGCATGTAGCCTACAGTAGCTCAAAATATGAACAATTATATAATAGTAACATATACAACTGAATTGTCTTTTATTATTGTCTTGTTATTAGAAAGGTATCGTCTGTAGCTCCTAGGTCTGTAGAATGTGGGTCAATGAGCTATAAATAGTAATACATGGCACATGTTAAAAATCTCAGAACTTTGAGTACTCCGATACTCTCACTAATCGGACATTATTTTACGGTCCCAGTATTTTTTGATTACTCAGAGTATACTGTATTTTGTTTTTAGTGTTTGGAAATGCTGATTTCATTCAAGATTCCTTTATGATTCAAGTTCACCTGAACTTTGAACCTAAGAAGGTCATAGTGTACTAAAACCCCAATTTGTCGTGGGCTATCAATATATTTCATTATGAATGCATGAAATGGGCAAAAAATTCTGTTCTCTGCCAGATACAAGCGATCCATCTAGGTTTTGGGGTCTTCTGGACCTTTTTTATACGCCCACACGTAAGATGGGCGTATATTGTAATCACCCCGTCGGTCGGTCGGTCCGTCCGTCCGTTCACATTTGGCTCGTGCTCACTCTACAGGCTACAGTCCTTTATGGATTCTTTTGATTTTTATTTTGTGTGTCAATGTCATTATAAAGATGATCCCTATTGATTTTCGTGATGATCGGATAATTTTTCACCGAAATATCGTGTCTGACTTGACGTTTTTCTCTTTTAGCTATATTGTGCAACTCGTGCTCACTCTACAGGCTACAATTCTTTACAGATTCTTTTGATTTTTATTTTGTATGTCAATGTCATTATGAAGATGATCCCTATCAATTTTCTGATGATCGGATAATATTTCACCGAAATATCGTGTCTGACTTGACGTTTCACTCTATTATCTATATTGTGCAACCCTGTAGTCACTAAAGACTGTTTAATCATTTCTGACAGCTGCCAGTGGGCGTATGTTACCTTGCCTGGCAAGCTATCTTTTTCTTTAACAAATCATGATTCCAAATCTATGATGATGCTAAATAAATCTTTGCCAACTATGAAATAAGGGCAACTTATTTCACTTCAGCTACACAAATATACATCAGATTCAGGCTGTCCAGCACTCTTGACTTTACCATAATATAGAGGAAAGGCATATAGCAATAGAAAAGTTTCTAGTTTGAGGTATATTTGAAGGAATATTGTTGAAGTCTATTTTTATATAATCAAGACCCTAATCAACCCCTGAAAGTGGTGAGCCATGGCCTTCAAGTGTAGGATAAAAAAACGTCTGAGGGTTTTGAATACAACCTGAGGGGTCTGACTTGGAAGCCATGAGATTTACAGTATATCCTGCTCATGCACACACATTCATTAAACATTCAATATTGTGGGTGACCGCTTGAAACCTTGTATAACGATATATGACACTAAATTACTTTTCGAGAGAAACGCAAAAAACTATTTGAACTCGTATTTTGTTAAAATCTTTTTTACCATTTCTTTTACCGCTATACATGGTTTTCATTCCTTGAAAGTTGAAACTTCCTATAACACTTGGAGTTGTTCGACCTATTCAACCAAAAACTCATATAATAGTACATTATACGAAGTTTTTCGTTTTCATCCCAGAAAGATAGCTTGCCAGGCAGGGTAATATACGCCCACTGGCAGCTTTGATTTTGAATAAAAATATTTAGCATTACAGTAACAATCACCAGTATGAAATACCGGGTATTCAACTTTCATTTATACACTTCTTTTGAACTCTTTAGCGCAACACTGAATAATATTGAGTATGAGTTATTGCCCTTGTTCTTGAAAACGTGTTCAATTTTTAACTCATGAAAACTCTAATATTCAATCTTCAGCGCGGGACTGAATAATAAAACCAAGTTTTGTCAAAATCCAGCAAGAATCATGCCTTTTAGTGTTTAAGAGCTAAATTTGAAAGCAGTTTTAAGAACAAGGGCAATAACTCATACTAAATATTTTTCGATTCTTCTGATTTACAATAGGGTAATTTACAAATTACGAATTACATTACAATTACGAACAATCACAACAGGTTTCATCAAAATCCGTCAAGAATTATGCCTTTGAGATTGTTTACGAGCTAAAAATTGAATGCGTTTTCAAGAACAAGGGCAATAACTCATACTAAATATTTTTCGATTCTTCTGATTTTCAATAGGGTTCATCCTTGGGTGATTACGAACACTCACACCAAGTTTCGTCCGAATCCGCCAAGAGTTTTTATGAGCTACAAATTGAACGGGTTTTCATGTGGGCGTATAAAATTGACCAAATGTGACATATACAAGGTTTCAAGCGGTCACCAACGACTTTTTAATACGTGACACAAACCACATATGTATATATACACAATCCTATGAAAGATGATTTTATGAAATTTAAGGTCAAGAAGGACACAAGGATGACATCACAAGAGGTTTATAAGATATATTATTATTCATTTCCATTAATCACAGATAATGTCTAATTATTGATACAGAAAATAACTATAAATATATACACTGTCTTCTATATTTAACCAGTATTTCTAGTTCACTTGCTTGTTCTTTCTGATTCAATCTTCCAGTGTGTATGGTCGCTGACAAAAAGAACACTTTCTTCAATAGTATGGTCTACGTTCATATTTTTCCTAATCACAGTTCAAGAGTCATTCAATGGTAGAAATAAGGGATCTATTCCACTTGCCATTCTTTGAAGAAATCATTGCCCTTATTATCCACAACAACAAATGCTGGAAAATCCTCTACCTCAACTCTCCAGATTGCTTCCATTCCTGAAATTACCAGAAAATATACTCCAAAATTATTGTGTTCATTAAACAGTAATTTGACATTTTTATACAAAGAAAAAGTTTGAAACCACTCAATTAAAAGGAATACTATATTGAATATAAGCATTTTTGGATAACAATCACTTTATTTCTTAAACACGACGATTCGACAAGATTCCACTAGTCTTATCAAGTGTTCAAAATATAACAAATGTCATTATATAGTGTACAAAATATAACAAATGTCGTTATATAGTGTACAATAAACAACATCGTATTTAAGAAATAAAGTGATTGTTATCCATAAAAACCTATATTTCAATCACTAAATGCCTATCAAACGGAATACTACTTCTTTGAATGAACATAAAATTTGAATTCCCAAACTTCTCCAATAAATCCATAAAACTCAGTAATTTTCCACAAAACTATAATATATACTAGTAATTTTAACACTTAAAACAGGTTATGTTAAGTAATAAATTAATTCCATTTATTCATATCATTAATATATTTACTCATAGGATTATACAGTGAATCTGTTGTTTAATTATGACACTGATGAATTAACCAAATTTTATAATTTGAATTGTTTGTTTATTACAAGAGGTGGTAATCCATGAATACAGGGGTTTCTATACGCCCACATGAATATGTGGTCGTATATTGTCGTCGCCCCTGTCCGTCGGTCCATTGGTCTGTCGGTCAACATTTCTTGTGAGCACTATAGAGACTACAGTTTTTATCTGATTTTGATAAAACTTGGTGTGATGCTTTAGATTGATAAGATCTCGGTCTAATTCGAATGTGACATATTTTCGATGAATGGTTTTTGAGATATTGCCCTTGACTTAGAACGCCTTGAAATTTGTTAAAAATTGGTCGTGAGCAGGATTGAAGCTACAGTTTTCAACCGATTCTGATGAAACTTGGTGTGATCATTGGAATTGATAAGATCTCGGACAAGTTCTAATTTGACGCATTTTTGATGAACGGTTTTTGAGTTATTGCCCTTGACTTTGTGAAAACACCTTGAAATTTGTTAAAAATTGGTCGTGAGCAAAATTGAAGCTACAGTTTTCAACCGATTCTGATGAAACTTGGTGTGATCATTGGAATTGATAAGATCTCGGACAAGTTCTAATTTGACGCATTTTTGATGAACGGTTTTTGAGTTATTGCCCTTGACTTTGTGAAAACGCCTTGAAATTTGTTAAAAATTGGTCGTGAGCAGGATTGAAGCTACAGTTTTCAACCGATTCTGATGAAACTTGGTGTGATCATTGGAATTGATAAGATCTCAGACAAGTTCTAATTTGACGCATTTTTGATGAACGGTTTTTGAGTTATTGCCCTTGACTTTGTGAAAACGTGTTGAAATTTGTTAAAAATAGTTTGTGAGCAGGATTGACGCAACAGTTTTCAACCGATTCTGATGAAACTTGGTGTGATCATTGGAATTGATAAGATCTCGGACAAGTTCTAACTTGACGCATTTTCGATGAACGGTTTTAGAGTTATTGCCCTTGACTTTGTTGAAATGCGTCGAAATTTGTTAAAAATAGTTTGTGAGCAGGATTGACACTACAGTTTTCAACCGATTCTGATGAAACTTGATGTGATCATTGGAATTGATAAGATCTCGGACAAGTTCTAACTTGATGCATTTTTGATGAACTGTTTTTGAGTTATTGCCCTTGACTTTGTAAAAACGCGTCAAAATTTGTTCGTGATCACAATAGAAGCTACAGTTTTCAACCGATCTTCAAACTTTACATTATCTTTCAAGATCCTTGATCAAAAAATGGATTATGGTACCACAGGTAGTATTTTACTAATTTTCACTATTTTGAAAAATCCAAATTTTGCAGCTTCACCACAGTCAAACCAGTTGAGATAGGATGATGAAATTTACACGGCAACTAGTTTGAAATCTTAGCTTTCTGCGATTCCATATAGTATTTCTTGTAGTATTTTACCTATACCTATTTGTCAGTCAGTATTTATTATAAAGACCGCTTGCCAAGCAAGGTAACATACACCCACTGGCATCTGTCAGAAATGATAAAAGTCTTTTGTGACTAAAGTGCAAATTTTCTCATATTAAAATTTTTTTAATAGTTTGAACTCAATAATATATATATTTACTTCCAGTTATTTATGCTGAGTAATTCCACAAAATTTTTTAAAATCAATAACCCAAATTTATCAAATTATTAATTCACACAGCTCTAATATCAAGGGCAAAAAAAACTCGAACAAGATTTCCTCAATATACATTTAAATAGATGTAAAACTACATTCATCATAAAAATCACATGAAATCTGTAGTCTCTATTGAGTTGATGAACAAATTTTGAAGCATTTTATTTAAGTCAAGGACAAAAGATCGTTCATCAAAAATTGCTTAAATTCAAACATGACCAATATCTTATCAATATACATCATCACATCAAGTCTCATTAAAATCAATAGAAAACTTTAGTCTTTATTGTGTTCACAAACAAATTTGACGCGTTTTTCTTAAGTCAAGGGCAATAACTCCAAGATAGTGGACCATAGCCATATATATGCCCTTCACGGCATGCGGATGGTAAAAACGAAACATCCACTTTAAGTTTCATCAAAATCGGTTGAAAACTAAGAGAGTAATAGCATATTCCAGATTTTGGGACAAGGGCAATAACTCTGCTTCTAACGGTCAAAAAATAGCTCAAATTCGAACTTGATCTTCGTTTTATGAATATGTATACACATACCGAATTTCATTTGATTCCTTCAAACACTCTAGTTTTTAGAGTGTTTACGAGCAATAAGTATACTTACTGTATAGAGGTTAAAGGGCGATAACTCCTCAAAACTGACGTAAGAGGCCTAAATCTTGATAAAGCCTTAAATTTAATCAGAAGTAAACTAAACTTTCTCAAACCTTTCAATTTAGGTCCAATAACGCCCATTTTAAGTTTCATCAAAATCGGTTGAAAACTAAGAGAGTAATAGCATATTCCAGATTTTGGGGCAAGGGCAATAACTCTGCTTCTAACGGTCAAAAATAGCTCAATCAAAAAATCTAGTTTTTAGAGCGTTTACAAGCAAATGTTGACGAAAGTACCGACGGACGGAGTGTTTACGAGCAATTGATGCTTTCAGAAGGTCAAAGTCAGGCGTTAACTTGACAACCACCATTCAAAATCAACCTTGCTAAATCAAAGAAGCTTACCTAATTCTGGGTATTCTAAAACTTCAACCTTTTTAATGCAGTTTTGAGCTAATATAGCTGCTGGACCACCAATAGAACCTAAATAAAATCCTCCATGTTGTTTACATGCTTTAGTAACCTACAATAAAAGATTATTCATATTTGATGATTTCTAATGGATGAATAATGTTTCAAAATACTAACTTGAAAATTCAAGATACTAACTTGAAAATTCAAGATACTAACTTGAAAATCCAACATACTAACTTGAAAATTCAACATACTAACTTGAAAATCCAACATACTAACTTGAAAATCCAACATACTAACTTGAAAATTCAACATACTAACTTGAAAATTCAACATACTAACTTGAAAATTCAACATACTAACTTGAAAATTCAACATACTAACTTGAAAATTCAAAAAGAAAAAAAAATGAATGGCCCTAATACGCTTCCGTACAATACAGATTAAACATTACTACTTAAGAATACCTTAACCCTTTGAACACTGAGTATAAATGAAATAAAACATGTAGCCTGAACTCCAAGTAATACAAAATAAAGCGTATGACGTTTACCTTGTATGACATCACTTAGTAACAGTTGGTTTACGGGACGCTCAGGTATATATTGTGTTATTATGTTGCCATTAGGGTTAAAAGGTTTAAAGGGCAAGATTTTCAGTGTGAAGAATTACACTAATTATGCGTGAAACTATATCTAAACCCTTTATATAGTTTCTATAAATTTACCTTGCCACCGAGGAATCTTAAAACATCAAATTTGAAGTTTCCTATTATAATTGATACGAGGCCTGATAGATATCTAAAAATAACATGCTCATAATTGGATAGTCGCTATTTTCCAGAACAGGAAAAATGGAGGCCAAGAGATTTAAAATACTTACGTAACCGTTTAAGAATTATTTTATGAATTGTGACTTGACACTTTGATTTTCCAAAAGGTAAGGGCATCTTCCTCTACGTGTTGGCATGAAGTATCATGTATTTTATGATCAAGACTACACAAACTCATTGAAAAACTCATTAAATTAAAGTGGACTGTTCCTCTTGACCAGGATGACGATGAATCACAGAGTGTCTTTGCTATGAATGATTTTTGAACTGACCTGTTTACTTCTATTTCCCTTGGCTAACATTATCATGCTACCACCAGCAGATTGAAATTCATCAACATAAGAATCCATTCTTCCTGCAGTTGTAGGACCAAATGATCCACTAGCTAATCCCTGTAATATAATCAGTCCAATATCATCAGAATAACACAGTCATATTTTAGATACATTTAGATTCAAATAATTATAAAATAGTTACAAAGAGATTACAGGGACAGATTCGAGTGTTGATCTGAATCTTGAATAAATGTAAATAGTTTTCAGAAATATAAGAAATGTATGAAAATTGCACAATTCCTTCAAAAATACTTCAAAGTAGGAATTTTACTTTCTATTTCTATATATGATAGGGGCTCAAGAAAAGACGAGGAGTCTCTCGTGAAGAAAATTCTGGACACACACACACGCTCAAAACATGATGGAGAGCTGTGAACACTTTGTCATGATATACGACCATAACCACCATTGGGTAACTGTTTATTGTTTATATTTACGTTTTCAAGACATTCTAATTTTGATACAAAGACATCAGTATGAATTTAAGTTTGGCCTATGTCTTTATGTTTCAATGTCTGGGACTACAGACATGATTGTTAAGATTGGAAACGAATGATGTCAACGAATAATGCGTTTGAAATTTAAAAAGATGACTCTTTTTTACTTGAGACACTGTCATGTATACAAAAGACATCTATAGAAATAGTGATTAAAATTCCTAGTTTAAAGTATTTATAAAGGAATTATGCGATTTTCATAGTACTTCTGAAGACCATTTACATATATTCAAGACCCACATCAAACCCTGAAATTGACTAATCTGTTCCTTTAATAGACTTCACGACATTATGCACATTCTGAAAAATTTACATAAGTCCTAAATCAGAATCAAACAAATGAATCAAAAGTATTACATATACCTCTGGTGTCTTGGCTGGGCCTGCATAGTAGACAGGATGGTCCTTTAAATATTGTGGCATACCTTCACCTTTTTCCAATCTTTCTTTAATTTTAGCATGTGCTATATCACGAGCTACAACTAAAGTTCCACTCAGGCTTAACCTAGTTTTAATAGGATACTGACTTAATAAGTTTAATACATCTTTCATAGGTTGGTTTAAATTCACCTAGGGGAAAAAATAGAGAATGAAAAGATGAAAATAACATCTACATCGAGCAATAATTTGCACTCTTCAGAAGGAAATGCTAGTCGTTTTGATGGAGTATAAGCCCATACCAATATATTGTTCTTAAATAGAACTAACAGACATAATCTTTGTTAACTGACATTAAAATCAGTCAGTGAGAAAAACAAATAAAAAAAAAAATATATTTCAACTAAGATTTTATACATATAGATAATAAAAAACAATTCATGTTGGCCTATAATAAATTATAGCATCTACCTTTATAACTTCACCACCAAGATCTTTATCTTCTACTTCTGGTAAATATTGACCTGGATTACTTTCTAATTGTTCTAAAAATACACCTTCACAGGTAATCTTACCATGAGCCTGAAATATAATATAATATAATAGATCTAAAAATACACATAATGTGTCTGTATAGTATGAGATGAAGTATTATGATGTGTCTGTATAGTACGAGATGAAGTATTATAATGTGTCTGTATAGTATGATATGAAGTATTATAATGTGTCTGTATAATATGAGATGAAGTATTATAATGTGTCTGTATAGTATGAGATGAAGTATTATAATGTGTCTGTATAATATGAGATGAAGTATTATAATGTGTCTGTATAATATGAGATGAAGTATTATAATGTGTCTGTATAGTATGAGATGAAGTATTATAATGTGTCTGTATAGTATGAGATGAAGTATTATGATGTGTTTGTATAGTATGATATGAAGTATTATAATGTGTCTGTATAGTATGATATGAAGTATTATAATGTGTCTGTATAATATGAGATGAAGTATTATAATGTGTCTGTATAGTATGAGATGAAGTATTATAATGTGTCTGTATAGAATGAGATGAAGTATTATGATGTGTCTGTATAGTATGATATGAAGTATTATGATGTGTTTGTATAGTATGAGATGAAGTATTATAATGTGTCTGTATAGTATGAGATGAAGTATTATAATGTGTCTGTATAGTATGAGATGAAGTATTATAATGTGTCTGTATAGTATGATATGAAGTATTATAATGTGTCTGTATAGTATGAGATGAAGTATTATAATGTGTCTGTATAGTATGAGATGAAGTATTATGATGTGTCTGTATAGTATGATATGAAGTATTATAATGTGTCTGTATAGTATGAGATGAAATATTATGATGTGTCTGTGTAGTATGATATGAAGTATTATAATGTGTCTGTATAGTATGATATGAAGTATTATAATGTGTCTGTATAGTATGAGATGAAGTATTATAATGTGTCTGTATAGTATGAGATGAAGTATTATAATGTGTCTGTATAGTATGATATGAAGTATTATAATGTGTCTGTATAGTATGAGATGAAGTATTATAATGTGTCTGTATAGTATGATATGAAGTATTATAATGTGTCTGTATAGTATGAGATGAAGTATTATAATGTGTCTGTATAGTATGAGATGAAGTATTATAATGTGTCTGTATAGTATGATATGAAGTATTATAATGTGTCTGTGTAGTATGATATGAAGTATTATAATGTGTCTGTATAGTATGATATGAAGTATTATAATGTGTCTGTATAGTATGATATGAAGTATTATAATGTGTCTGTGTAGTATGATATGAAGTATTATAATGTGTCTGTATAGTATGATATGAAGTATTATAATGTGTCTGTATAGTATGATATGAAGTATTATAATGTGTCTGTATAGTATGAGATGAAGTATTATACTTATAAGTTAAGATATTTACCTGTCTATCTGCTGAACATGATACACCTATACCAACAGGACATGATGCACCATGACGTGGTAATCTGACAACTCGAACATCATGACAAAAATACTTGCCACCAAACTGTGCTCCAATACCCATTACTTGTGTTAATTTATGAATTTCATCTTCTAATTCAAGATCTCGAAAAGCTCTTCCATGTTCATTTCCTGAATCAGAAAATAAATGATGTTTTCTCTGGATAATAGGAGGTGAGAGCCGACACCAGACCAACTCTCGGAACCACCGACACAGGCAACAGAATATTTCATACCTAATATTTAAACCTAATCGATTTGCAAACAACAGTCCAAATGGCTTCTGACAGATATTCCACTGCCACATTGGCAGTTTGAGTGCAACATTTCTCAAAAAAATAAATAAGAATGTATGGATTTTTTCACACATTCTAAAAGTATAAAACTGTTGACAACAAATGTTGATTTACACCCAAAAAATGTCTGAAGGTGAAAATCTTAAAAGGATTAAAAGAAGTTTCTAGGTCAATTATAGCTACTTTTTGCATGTTTTAAAATCTTTATCTGACAACAGTATGACTTTACTTTGATCATTCAAGTCTATTAGTATTAGTTATGGTGACATGATAATCAGTTTTTCAACATTGTGATATAATATATACTGACCAGTAGTAGGTAAATTATCAAGATATTTAGTTGAAGCTAATTTGACTGTTTTCAAGTTAAACTCAGCTGATGTTCCACCAACTACAAAAGCTAAATGATATGGTGGACAAGCTGCTGTACCTAATGTCTATAAAACAGAAAAGAACATATCATATACATGTAAACAACATCATTGGCCCTCTTCATAAATGGGTATAGAACATTGTCTATTTTAAGACTAGGTTCTTTTTCATTTACTTTTTTATAAGAATTAGTCCTTTGTGATTCCTGGTGAATCCAGTCTTTTGTGTCCCTTTCGTTTAACTCAGATTTCATTTGTGTATCAATTTTGACATATAATTACCAAGTAAAAGCAGATTGAATCCATCAGGACAAATAAGATAATGGACCAATTAAATGTCTGTGAAAGAGAGGCATTTTGAAAAAATAAAAATGCTTTACTGAAAAACATTTGCAAATCTCTTGATCTCATCTTCTGTTAGAAGTACTTAGTTTTTAGAATTTTGAGATATAACTACATCTTTTTATGCGATTTGTCAATCTGAGTTTCAGTTCCCAGGGCCACAAAACATTTCTCATGCACAGCTTAGTTTTTACTCTAATTCATAATGTGTCTAGTATAAGAAAGGGAAAATTGTGTTGTAAGAAATAGATTGATACATTTTTCTTTGATACAATCAGTTAAGCATTTGTAATAGCTGCTTCTCAACCTGTTTCACCCTGTTCAAACTAACCTCTACACTACCAGAAGTCACTGACCCCTTTCAATAATCCAGTAAATAATTTTATCAAATTTATTGAATAACACTTTGATAATCAGATTTTGATAATGAGGTATAGTTCTTATTGTGAGCCCACAACAACACTCAAGAAATTAGAATAAATGGTTGATGGTGAACACAATGAGCGAATCTTATTAATTTCCCCCTTTTCTGAATAATCAACTCTGTATTTTTTTATCATTTGAAAGAAAGAAATATTTTAGAAAATATGTGAGAAATTGAGTGAAAATTATTCATCATAACTCTTCATTATTGATCTTCAAAATCACATTTTTGGTCATAAAATTATTTTCACTGATAGAAGTAAGAAGACTGTAGTAGTTTCTTTCTTGTCAAGCTTTTCTATAAACAAAGTAGGTCTTTTTAAACAGAATTATTTTTACAATATCACAAACCTTGATTTTCTCATTGACAAAAGTAAGGAGTTTTTCTGGGTTTAATAAAGCTTTAGTTTGTTGATAAAGAAAGGTTTTATTAGCTGAACCGCCTCCTTTAGCTATAAATAGAAAGTCATATTGGTTGCTGTCAGTTGCATAGATTTCTATTTGAGCTGGTAAATTAGTCTTTGTGTTCACTTCTTCATACATACTTATTGGTGCTACCTGAAATCACAAGATACAGTTTTAGGTGTCAGCAACTTAGCATCTTGTATATACTTGATATCCTTAACGGGATTGTTAAGAGGTTTATGTGTATCAGGGACACATTTAACTTCTATGTTCCAATCTTTGTCCAATGCCTGTGGTTCCTGCAATTCCAGAAAGAGTTAACTGAAATGACGCAGCTCCTGCAAGAGAAGTCGTAACCAACCTAACGCCAGACCAATAATACATGTTATCTCCCTTTACAAGATGGCTGCATTTCTACCTAAAAATTGAAGACTCATCCTTATTAATGATAAATGGCCGGCTGTGAATACAGTGATGTGAACATTTGGTAAAGTTAGTCCAGTAATACTACTAATATTGAAATATATTGATTTACCAAATGTTCAAGACAACATGTAACTGAACGTAATCCAACATATCAATGAAGCTAATCCGACAAATCAATAAGTTGCAACAAACATAATATAAATTTAATCTAATTTAGACATGACCCTATACAAATTAGATAGATTTACAATGGAACTTACCTGTGAATAGCGTAAGTTTTTTTTAGTATAAGTATTGTAGATACCACGTGATATTGCTTCTTCATCTCTACCTTCTGTCCATACATACTGGCCTTTCTTACCTACAACACATCCAACCAATAACATGACAACTCTACTTTTAGACAAGATTGATCCGTTAAGTCATCTGATTAAAAACCATGTTTTTTGTTATCTGGACTCTCCAAAGGGAATGTTGAGTTGAAGAGTGACATGAGGTGTTGTGGATGAATCACTAGGGACACATAATCAATAAAGCTTTAGTGCTTAAAAAAATAACAAGGACCATCCGTTTTTTTCATTAGCTTTAATTTTCAATATAGCCACTTCAGTTAGGGTCAAACGACAGCCCTCATGAACTCATGAACGTTTGTCAATTTAACCAGCAGAGGTCACCGAGGTCATCCAGTTAGGTCAAAAGACTTAACTCGATGACCTCTGCTTTAACCAATCATAACGAAAGTTAGATCTAATTTTATTTAGACTTCAAAGACCTGATGTGTAAAATAATAAACAATCCCATGACACTATGAGAGTATTTTTTTTCACTCTTTCTGTCATCTATTGATAAATCTGACAACTGTCACCATAGTTACATAAAATTAGATAGTTGAAAGGCAATACTCACCCATACAGATAGCTGTACCAGTATCTTGACAACCTGGTAATACCATTCCTGCTGCTACATTGGCATTCTTCAATAATTCTAATGCTACAAATCTATCATTACTAGATGCTGAGGGATCTTTTAATATCTTAGATAATTGCTGAAATATGAGATGAGATGAACCTTTTCATTCTCTAGAATAGTTGAACCATAACAACTTTTAAAAAGTTGACTATTTGTGCATATGGGTAATTCAAGGTTATTAAGTTTAAAAAATTTGTCATTTATTGGAGCATTGAGATGAAGGAAACGTGTTTTGTCAGACGTAAAGCCAAATCTAGAGGTATATTTGAAAAAAGCAACAATAACAAATCTTGAGGTATATTTGAAAAAAGCAACAATAACAAATCTTGAGGTATATCTGAAAAAAGCACCAATAACAAATCTTGAGATATATCTGAAAAAAGCAACAATAACAAATCTTGAGGTATATCTGAAAAAAGCAACAATAACAAATCTTGAGGTATATCTGAAAAAAGCAGCAATAACAAATCTTGAGGTATATCTGAAAAAAGCAACAATAAAAAATCTTGAGGTATATCTGAAAAGATAGCTTGCGATGAAAGGTAACATACGCCCACTGGCAGCTGTCAGAAATGATTTTAGTGACTAAAATACGAATTTTCTCATATTAAACAAATTATTTATGCTGAATAATTCCACAAAATTTTTTAAAATCAATATCAATAACCCAAATACAACAAACAATTAAATCACACAGCTCTAATCAAGGGCAAAAAACAACTTTTGACGCGTGTTTACAAAGTCAAGGGCAATAACTCAAAAAATGTTCATCAAAAATATCTCTTGTTAGAACTTGTCCGAGATCTTATCAATTCCAATGATCACACCAAGTTTCATCAGAATCGGTTGAAAACTGTAGCTTCTATTGTGCTCACAAATAAATTTTGACGCGTATTTCGTAAGTTAATGGCAATAACTCGAAAACATTTCATTGAAAATGCGTGAAGTTAGAACTTGTCCGAGATCTTATCAATTCCAATGATCACACCAAGTTTCATCAGAATCGGTTGAAAACTGTAGCTTCTATTGTGCTCACGAACAAATTTTGATGCGTTTTTACAAAGTCAAGGGCAATAACTCAAAAACCGTTCATCAAAAATGCATCAAGTTAGAACTTGTCCGATATCTTATGAATTCCAATGATCACACCAAGTTTCATCAGAATCGGTTGAAAACTGTAGCTTCAATCCTGCTCACGAACTATTTTTAACAAATTTTGACGCGTTTTTACAAAGTCAAGGGCAATAACTCAAAAACCGTTCATTGAAAATGCGTCAAATTAAAAGTTGTCCGAGATCTTATCAATTCCAATGATCATACCAAGTTTCATCAGAATCGGTTGAAAACTGTAGCGTCAATCCTGCTCACAAACTATCTTTGACAAATTTCAACACGTTTTAACAAAGTCAAGGGCAATAACTCAAAAACCGTTCATCGAAAATTCGTCAAGTAAGAACTTGTCCGAGATCTTATGAATTCCAATGATCACACCAAGTTTCATCAGAATTGGATGAAAACTGTAGCTTCAATCCTGCTCACGAACAATTTTTAACAAATTTCAAGGCGTTCTAAGTCAAGAGCAATATCTCAAAAACCGTTCATCAAAAATATGTCAAATTCAAACTTGACCGAGATCTTATCAATCTAAAGCATCACACCAAGTTTTATCAAAATCAGATAAAAACTGTAGTCTCACAAGAAATGTTGACGGACGGACGGACGGACCGACGGACAGGGGCGACGACAATATACGACCACATATTCATGTGGCCATATAAAAAGCAACAATAACAAATCTTGAGGTATATCTGAAAAAAGCAGTAATAACAAATCTAGAGGTATATCTGAAAAAAGCAGCAATAACAAATCTAGAGGTATATCTGAAAAAAGCAGCAATAACAAATCTAGAGGTATATCTGAAAATAGCAGCAATAACAAGATTTTGAATTCACGGTGGTTAAAGTTACCTGTAAATGTTTTGGGCGTAATAAATGAGCTATATCTATCATGGCATGTTCAGCTAATAATGTTAGAGCTTCTGGCTGTATCTTTAAAACTTGTTTTCCATTTACATCAAATGTTGATACAAAATCACCTGAAATATAACCCATGTATAATAAACTTGTATAAATCATACATAATGTAAAACAGAGATAGGTTTATAGTTAACAATGTAATACATTAGGGCTGGGCGATATATATCATGATATTAAGTATTAATATATCATGATATGAGTATATATCACAATATTTCTTAAGTATGCTTTTTACTGGTTTTTGAGAAAAAATGTTGTATATCTATCTAAAAATTTAGATATTTAAGGAAAAACAATAAATATCTCTTAAAAACAATCCAGTTTTTAATATCTGGAAAAAAACATCTGTTTCTAATATTAAGTTTCTAGTACTTTTTAGTATTCAAGACTAAAATCAACCCCCTAAAATGGAACACCTGTCCCTTTAACTTATGATCCAAACTTAAGAATACCTGATAGTTTTTTCCATGGAATATCAGCTTTTCTTGTTTGCTCTAAAATATCTTGATAATGAAAAGGCTTTACATCAGCAGTAGAAGCTGACAAATATGGAATAATTTGTTTCTGAAATGTTGATTTTAGAATACCCAGCCTTCTTAACCTCAATGTTGATAACATTTTTCTGAAAAATAAAATATGGAGATTTAGGATGTTAGGTGCTGAATCTGAAATATAATTTTCAATATTTCATTCTCTGTTCCCATCTTATTTCAAAATTAGCTATTTCAGAAAATGACTAAAAAGATTTTTTGGTAACAACCTAGAGCTGTATACAAAACTACTTAAGCGCCAGGGTTGAGAGTTAGTGAACTTCACCCTCCTTAGAAAATTTAAAAAATGAGCTTTCATTCACTTGCATTTGATTCCAATCCAAACGGTATTACTAATGACGACATACAACACATAAGTGTTTTAATGATTGGAAAAAATACAAGTTTGTCTCAAAAGTCCAAAGGCCATAATCTTGTCATAACCAGCTGATTAAGAAGAGCCAAGTCCAAGTTGGACACCCCCACTTCTCTCTTTGTTCCAACTTTAGATACCCCCTATAGCCTCCCCACCCCAAATGATGTTATCTCGTACATCTCCTTTTACTGTTCAGCGCTGACGGTACCCTCACTGCCCTGCACACGTCAGTACACCTTTATGTCAAAATTAGGCATCCAACATCCAAGTTACCTTTACTCTTATTTCTCCCAACTTCTCTTAACTCAGACAGTCTGGTGAAGTCTTAAACCCTCCTACCTTGGAACAAACCCGGTACTGATGAACTCCGGTAACCCCGATACTTACAAACCCCAGCAACCCCAGTAAAACCCATACCCCGATAACCTTCCACTGGGGTCCATGAACAGTATAAATAGAACCCCGCAACGTGAGTCTAATCAGTCTGAAGAGTTCAAACATGAACGAAACTAGTCACTGATAATCAGGGATAACTGGTCGCACAGCCATCTCTTATATTATATAAAACAGCTACTCAAGTATTTTGGTATTGCTTTTATCATCTCCAGCAACAGGGAAGATTATTTTTCAATTTCATTTTGCAAAAAACATAACAGTAAGAAAAGAATTAATTCAAACCTGTCCCAACCTACAATATATACAATCAGGTAAATTTAGCTCAAAATATTAAACTCTAAAAATGGCAATTTAAACATAGGTTGACATAATTTGGTCATGTGAACAAACTAAATTTAACTTTTCTAAGCAGATTATGTTTTCCAAGCCTTTCTATATCTAAACATCAATTTATCAAATAGTTTGCTTGATTTGACTAAAAAAATAAGAAAACCCATCTTTAACTTCACAAAACTTTAATTTCCACTCAGTTTCTATAATTTGCATCGTGTGTGCAGACAAACTTTCAGATCAATTTAAATATAACAAGCTTGCGTAACAAAAGGCAAATCTGGTATCAATCTATATCTTTTTTTTCTCAAGTTAAATTTAATGTGTGTATTGAGGATAGGTAAGAACCCAGGTGTATGTACAGAATATACAGTTAACCCCTATTCCATACTTTGATATCGATTTTGACAGTTGTCCTGTTTCAGGGGGATTGTCTGGTGCGGGTGGTTTTAAACACTCCCTCAAACACTCCCAATAGCATCATTATCCCTTATCAATCTATTAAAAAGACTACATGCATATGCAACCGATACCAAAAGTTCAAAGGTTGTGATACCGGTACTAACAAAAGAAAAGAAAGCTGATCTCTGGTAAAACAGGGCCAAGTTTTTATTATCCTACTCAAGCCGACAACTATCAAAATATTTTCAAAATAGTACAGTGGTGTAACCTTTATTCGTGCATATAAGGATTTAACATCCAATTTCATCAAAATGTCTTAGAAGTTTCGTCAGATATTCTACAAAATAATTAAAATTGGTTTGTTTCGAATTTCTGTATGAATTCCTGACCTTGACCCATATTTCATGAGTAACCAAGGTAACAATGGCTGATAAATGCGTCACCTATTTTCGTGTACAATGTTTGATCTGCAAATAAGTGAGAAGATAGCTTGCCAGGCAAGGTAACATATGCCCACTGGCAGCTGTCAGAAATGATTAAACAGTCTTTAGTGACTATAGACACGATATTTCGGTGAAATATTATCCGATCATCACGAAAATCGATAGGGATCATGTTCATAATGACATTGACATACAAAATAAAAATCAAAACAATCTGTAAACAATTGTAGCCTGTAGAGTGAGCACGAGTTGCACAATATAGCTAATAGAGTAAAACGTCAGGTCAGACACGATATTTCGGTGAAAAATTATCCGATTATCATGAAAATCCATAGATCATCATGAAAATCAATAGGGATCATCTTCATAATGACATAGACATACAAAATAAAAATCAAAAGAATCTGTAAAGAATTGTATCCTGTAGAGTGAGCACGAGTTGCACAATATAGCTAATAGAGTAAAACGTCAAGTCAGACACGATATTTCGGTGAAAAATTATCCGATCATCACAAAAATCAATAGGGATCATCTTCATAATGACATTGACACACAAAATAAAAATCAAAAGAATCTGTAAAAAATTGTAGCCTGTAGAGTGAGCACGAGTTGCACAATATAGCTAATAGAGAAAAACGACAAGTCAGACACGATATTTCGGTGAAAAATTATCCGATCATCACGAAAATCAATAGGGATCATCTTCATAATGACATTGACACACAAAATAAAAATCAAAAGAATCTGTAAAAAATTGTAGCCTGTAGAGTGAGCACGAGTTGCACAATATAGCTAATAGAGAAAAACGTCAAGTCAGACACGATATTTCGGTGAAAAATTATCCGATCATCACGAAAATCAATAGGGATCATCTTCATAATGACATTGACATACAAAATAAAAATCAAAAGAATCCATAAAGAACTGTAGCCTGTAGAGTGAGCACGAGCCAAATGTGAACGGACGGACGGACTGACGGGGTGATTACAATATACGTGTGGGCGTATAAAAAACACATTGTATGGATACCCAGTAGTATAATTAACTTCTCTTAGTATTTATCTTTAATATCAATTCATTACAACTAGTGACAATTCCTTCAAAGAACCACGATTTAAAAAAACAATATAGTGACTGACAAAATAAGATAAGTAAAATGTAAGAGTGATATATTGCTAAAAGTCATTGAAACAACATAAGAATATGGCCCACATTGAGTTGGCAAAAAAAAATGAGGGTGGCGAATAATTGTTTGCCACCCGGGTGGCGAATATCTTCGGCCCATTGTGTTCCATAGAATTTTTCTGCTGACACGGAATCCGCTAGTTCTTCATGGACTACATTCTAGCAGACGACACTTGGTAGTTGGAATTCCGATTACAGCTTGATTGTTTGAGGAGAGATTTCAAACTGCAAAGGGTGTGATGTATTTCAAAACTGGCCTAAATCAATTTCTAAACCTCTTCCAGGCGACTAGCTGTCAATCATATGTCTGAGTATGAACTTTAAACAAGATAGACCATCGTTACTGCAATACTCTACATAATAATGCAAAAGGAAGAGGTAAGGGAGACAACTCTTCACCGATGAATAACGTTTTCAAAACTAGGTCTTCTTTCCTTTTAATAGCACAAAATAGATTAGAGATTCTGTCTCGTCATCATCAATCATTTTACATTCCATGCATTCTTAGATTTACAATCGTTGAATAGTGTAAAATAATTCTTACAGTGATGCTGGCGAATAGAGTTTGAAAAGAAATCTGACTGAAACAGATTGTAAACAAATTCGTCCTTGAGAGGTGAAGGTCAGAGAGGATTCAGACCACAAACTCTTTCCGGATTGTGCTAAACATTTCATAATGAAGCTGTGTTTTCAGCACAGATACTTTTGCATGTAAATGAAACTTCACATTTCTTATGCTGATGTTTTATGTCGGAAAGAGTATAATGTTGAATGATTTTGATGTAAACTATAGTGAGATTCACCGAAAACTTCCTACTCTACGTTATTGCATTGACCTGGTCTGGTGGTAGTAGAAAAGAGCACCTACCGCTTATTGTAAACATACTGGTGTTGTGATCAAGTCAAATCGTAAAAGATACCAATATGGCAGAAAGTAAGCACGAAGAAGATGAAAAGGCGAATCAGGCTTATGCTGCACTCGGTATAGGAATTATCTGTATTATTATAGGAGTCCCATTATGGTGGAAAACAACAGAAGTTTATCGTGTCCAATTGCCATATAATGATATTTCTGATTTATCTCAAATTCCACTGGTGTATTTGACAGATATTGAAGTCATTTCATTAGATAAAAAGTTGGATTCAAACTTGGTTCAGATTTCACAGCAGTTACAGGAAGATTTGTCAAGAAAAAGAGGGGAAGAAGTAACCCCTATTTACAGAGTAACTGTACGTGAATCAGTTGGTGATGAACAGTCCATTTTTAATAAATATGATAATAAAGACTTGTCGAATATTGACAAACTATTATCAGAACTGTCTCCATTGCAACGAAATAAATATCTTATTTTCCTGATACCCAGTAATAATGGTAAACTGAATGTTTTCATTGGAAAATATTACAATAGTTTTGTTTCTTCTAATGGCAAACTAGACAAGATTATTCCACTCATCAGTAAAACTGTTCAAATGACTATTGTAAAAGAACAAAGTGTTGTTAAAAGTATTTTCAATGCGAAAGGGGCCCGATCATTGAAACCTGATAAAGAAAGCATGAGGTCTGTTAGGTATAATACAGGATATGATTTGACATTTACCTTAACAGTGCCTCAACCAGATATATTTGATGTTTCATGGAATATCAGAGAAGCTGTGGATACTTATTTAAAACCATTAGTTGATCATTTAAAAGAATTTACCCAACTGAAAATCAATTCACAAATCCACTATTTTACAACATTACAGAGAAAACCTCAAAAAGATGAAAAGCTGAATGAATATTACTTTTTGGAACAGGACTTGCCTCATCTGATAAATCCTATAGAATCCACATTAGGTACATCTGCATCTAATAATCCTGAATTAAACTTTATTGTGTACATTCCAACAAGGGATCAATCACCATTGTATATTAAAGACAAAAATGGGGTTAAAGTTCCTACTAATTCATTCTTAAGTCCGCGATGGGGAGGTGTTATGATTTTTAATGTACCAGAATTTAACGAGTCAACACCTCTACCATTTCCTGTGAAAGTGGAAGGGAAAAATATTATGGAAGTTTTCCTTACTCAAATACGTCTGCTTTTAAATCTGAATTCACCAACATCATCACATGAAGTGTGGTTTGATCCTGTAGAAGTCAATGGCATCAGTAATATGGAAATAGATGTTTGGTTACGCAATCGATGTTTTGAGAACCTTGCTACCTCTATTAATACTTTACAGTCATTAGCTCAATTGTTAGGACAAATCAGTAATATTGTGATCAAAGATGACATCGGAAGTCAAGTTGAAGCAGCTGTTAGAGAAATAAAAAGCAGTCTAAAATATTTATCAACAGGAAATCTAGTAGATGCATTTCATTCCTCAAAACGTGCAATCATAGCATCTGAAAAAGCATTTTTTGATCCTTCCCTCTTAGAACTGTTGTATTTTCCAGAAGATCAAAAATTTGCTATTTACATTCCTCTGTTTTTACCCATCAGTATTCCTTTGATTACAGCAATGATGCATGCAATCAAATGGTTCAAAGGAACAAAGAAGCCTAAAACAGATTAAAGTTGGTGACATATTTCTCTTCAGTTAGGCCTTTATTTTGCTTAAATCTGTACTTTCATACAACCAAAAAATACAGTGTACTGTAAACTTTTACATTGTTATTGACAGGATATTTTTAGTTAAAACTTTCAGATAAGGTAGACCTAAGGGACACATATCGTGGGTGACCACTTGAAACCTCGTATAACATATATGGCGCGGAATTACTTTTCGAGAAAAATGCAAAAAACTATTTGTACGCGTATTTAGTTAAAAAAAATTTTATTATCTTTTTTACCTCTATACGTGGTTTTCATTCTTGGAAAATATAAACCTTGTATAACAATTTGAATTCTTCTGCCCATTGAACCAAAAACTCGTATAATAATACAGTATATGAGGTTTTTCATTTTCATCTGCAGAATCAGGAACATTGAACCTCGTATAATAATATATTTTATGAGGTTTTAAATCTGACTGTTTAAATACGTGGTATTTAATTAGTGCTTTTTGAGTTATTTACAATCAAGCTAAGAATACGAGGTTTTGATCACAAGATCCCCGCTTTAACGAGCTTTGAACAGTACAAAAAAGTCAAAATGACCAAATATGGCATATACCAGGTTTCAAGCGGTCACCCACGATATATTGATTTTGGTCTATAGTTTGCGTAAATTTCAGCATCTAGATTTTACGACCTAGAGTACTTAAAACGTCAGATTTTTATTTCCATTATTACCATTTTACTCTGCCATAGGAATCACTTGTTTCCAGCTGTCATTATTTATTATCATTGTTAATTTTGTACAGAAGATTGATACACATGTAAGCTTATTCATCTAATTGCCCCTTTGTATATTTCATATTTTTTTAAGATTTTGTTCATCTTTTTAACAGTTGAACTGAAACTTTTTTCAAAGAATAGTAATGTAATGTTTGTTAAGGAAATGGAAAAGAAATTTCTGGATTATTGTTCTTTGAAAATTTCTTGATATTTGAAAATTGAAAAAAGGGGCACAGCAATTGGTATTGGAAGGCCTGTACATATATTGGGTCAATAATTGTTCATCACACTTTTCCCAACACATTTCCATACTCATCAAACATTTCCCAGCACACTTCCAAGCACATCAAACATTTCACAACTTCTCCAAGCACATCACACATTTCCCAGCACACCTCCAAGCACATCAAACATTTCACAACTTCTTGAAGGACATCAAACATTTCTCAACATACCATCAATTAGCATATAACACATTCACAACCCCTACAAGTAGGCTACATCACATTTCCACACAAACCTGCAAATGTTCTCCAAGTAAGAGAGTCAAGAAGACCTCCATTTACTTGCATCAGTTTATGCTGACTTCTTCATTGTATGTGAAAATATATTAAAAGCCTCTACATTTCAGTTTTTGTGTTGTAACTATGAACAAAGTGTTATATTATTTAAATTTTGCTAAATATATTAGTGACCAGCAGGCTTGGTTTCAAATTCTTTACATTGATGTCAAAAAGTATGGAGGTACAAACAATTGGAAAAGGGAAACTGCTCATTTGAACTATTTACTGTTAAGATCTCTTTTTCATGAAGTATAGTTGTCATACTATGTCATTCACCTTCTTTCCTCCATTAAAGGGATTGTAATGAGGTTTTCTAATTTGTTGATGTGTACTTTGATGCTATCAGTGTTCGTATCGGATACACATGTATCAGGAACACCGATAGCACCAATGTGAACCATTACAATTTTCTGTCAGACATCTATGGTTCCTCTTGACGTCACAAATCGCTTATAATGCTTGAATCAAATAAGGCCCTTTGTGATTAGTGATGTCATTCAAAACTTAGTTTTAATGGAATTGCAGGAATAACAGATGTCTGATTAAAAATTGGATTTGGAATTGTCTCCAATAAACAAGAAAATGTTTTAGAAAACCTCTTTACAATCTAAACAACAAATAGGACTAAATATGCCTCAGATTATCTTACACTTGATTTCACTGATGTTCTGCATAGATTTAATCTTATTTAATAAAGTGATAAAGTTATTAGTTCATATCTGATAAAGGGAAATTAAAAGTTGCCTGTTACAAAAATGTTGTTAGAAAGGAAAACATGCCGGCAGAAATATTCATTTGCAATTTTTTGTTACATATCTGGGTTTTGAGGATTCGATTTAAATAAACAGGTTAAAGGCCCCTGCACCTTTGGAGGTGCTGAAACTTACTCAAAACTAGGAATAGTTTTTCTGTCTCTACTCCAGCCGACAACTGTCCAAATAGCTATCACTCAGAGGCTGGTAAAGACTTTATAGAGGCAGATATAAGGGTGCAACATTTCCCCCACACCTCCAATATTGTCCTGCCATGGACTGTGTTTATACTACGTATTTGACGACTCATTGAGTACATTAAACATTTCCCAACACACCTCCGGCCCCAGTAGACCCAAACAAAACATTGCCCATTACTTCTCAAAGCACATCATCACGATCACAACTCCCACAATTCACGGCAAATTGAAAGAATTAGTTGTGGTATGACAGTTTATATTTGGTCCAAATTTTGGATTTCCAAAAATTATGTCCCCTGAGCGGTGTTTACATCGTTTACATCCTGTTGCGGAAGATAAAATTGCCTAATAGTAATAGGCTTTTACGTTTTTCTAACCTTTTTGAGTTCCTGTTAAGTTCGGCTTCATCCAAAAGGTTTCTTACCAATCTTACAGGTATTTTATAATTTAATATTTATCTGAAGATTATTGATAGGGGCCTAAGCTGACAGATTTTGCCATTGCGTTCGCTTGGATATGATTAATAATGGTAGGGGAGATGAGGGTAATTCTGTACAGAAAAGTAGCAAATTCCAGAAATTTCCAGTCAATTCACCCCATACTTAGTCCGAAACATCTGCCTGTATTCCAGCCTTATGATTGTTATTTTGACAGTTGGTCAGCTGGAATAGGATCATAAAACTAGGCCCTGGAGATTTCCAGCACCTCTAAACTAAAGGGAGCAGTTGGTTTCAAACCAATTTATGTTCGGAAAGATTGATGCCAACACCATTTCCGTCAAAGTTAATTTTTGATGAAACTTATCTCTGCACGAGCATTAGGCCTATCTTACAGACTGAGTGAGCATACGATAGTTCAAGTTTTTTTCTTTCTTTTATTTTTTCTGATGATATTTTTTCATGTCTCAAATGAAAATGGAGGTAGCCTCTTGGCCAAATCATAGCATATTTAAGAATTTATTTGCTCAAATAATTTACAATACTTTTAAGACGCCCGCACATGGAGAGAAAATGGCGCAGCACCAATTACGTTTGACTAGTAGCGCTTTGTGTGCAGGTAAATTTTAGTTTGCATTTGGAAGTTTTCTCATCAGTTGAGTGGAATCCAGCCCTTGAAGACGAATGGGTTTGTACGATTATTTTAGTGAAAATGATTTAAAATGAAAATGATTTAAAATGGCGTCTGTTTACTATTACCAATTTAGCATGTTTTCAATTTTTTAATATGAAATGATCAAATGAAAATATTTATGAAAGTTCGGTAGGTTCGTTTTGCCGCATTGCCCAACTAAACAAAAACGTCTTGTAAAACGAAACTAAAGGTTTCTGGTAAAATCCAGAATGACCATTTGTTTCACATGAAACGAAATATTTCAATCTGTTGTCCCGCATCGATTTTCTTTGGACCTGTGAGGGAAATCGAAAATATAGTTTCAAGATTTTCGTACTGTGCCTTTTTACAGAGGCATACTCTTCACTATGACAATAGAGTTTTCAAAATATAACCCTCACCGCTCACGGTTTTAGATTCCACAATACTTATTTTCCTGTGGATCCATTTCATGTCTGAACTGTCATTTTTTCTAAACAATTGCAGGTTCGTCTATTTTTGTCTCCAACTGCCGACAGTAGTGTGGAGCCAATCAAATCCAGCTTCTACCTTGTCCACCAGGACATTCTGGGACTTACCTGGAACCAGTGGGGTTGAGCCACTGCCGAATTATAGAGCACATCGAATACGAGAATTTTAAACTTCTCCTCGCTTGATAATTCTGATTTACAATTCAGAAGATTTTCACTTTTAGACATTTCAGTTGCCGTTTTTTCTAGCACGAGGGTGACGTTATAGGCACGCAGTAGAGGGACATAACTCTTGCAAGTTATGACCAATATTTCATTTATTGAACTTGTCTTGTTTCGTTTTATGGATTTATGTAATTTGTATTACGGTTCTGATCGTTTGTACTTAGTATTTATTTTATTCCAGATTTTACCATAAAACTATAGTTTCGGTTTCCCTAACAGGTCCAAATCATAAATAAAAAGAAAATCGATGCGGGGCAACAGATTAAAATATTCTGTTTCATTTGAAACAAATGGTCATTCCGGATTTTATCAGAAAGCTTTAGTTTCGTTAGCAAGTCGTTTTTGTGCAGTTGGGCACGATGTGGCAAGTTTGGCAATGCGGCAAAACGAACCCACCGATGAAAGTTGTATGTTGGAAGTCATTTTGACTGTTGACTCTGTGACTATCCTATGTTTGCATCTATTTATTTATGAATTCTCGGCTGTCAAAGTCAAGCTGGTTCTTATTCTTTTACACTCAATAGGAGTATTCTTATTAAAACCGTAATATTACTTGTACAGATAGTTTAAATTCAGATGCATATTTATCTTCTTTTCTTTTTCATTTTTTGTTCGCTTGATGAACTGTTACTGAAATTTTCTTGCTGTGTATTAATTTTTATTTCTAAGATATATACTTATATATATTCCTATAACACCCATCAAAATAGGTGAAGAAGTTCATGAAGATTCAAGGAACTGTTTTTGGTAAAATATTTCACCCACAAATATTTATCATAAACTGTCATCCGTGGACATGATATAGGTTTTTGATTAAATTTTATGGATTTATAAAAACAATCACCAGCATAAAGTATGTAGTGATAAAAACTGACAGCAAACCGTAAATCTGTCAAAACTGGTAACACAAGGATACC